GTTTGGTTTGGTTTGTTTCTTGTTGGTACCAGGGCTTGAACTCAGAGCCTTAGTGATGTCCCTTAGTGACCCCCAATCCAACCCCAGATCAAGGTGAGTGCTCTGCTGTTTGAGCCACAGCTCCAGCATTTTGGTTAGCCAAAGATAAGAATCTCACTGACCTTTTCACTTTTGTGCTCTGGCTGGCTTCAAATTGAGTAACTACCACGCCTGTCTTAACCCTAAACTCTTTGTTTTCTTTTCTTTTGCAGGTCATGAGGCTTGAACTCAGGACGTGGGCGCTATCCCTGAGCTTTCTGCTCAAAGATATCACTGTACCACTTTGAGCCACAGCACCACTTCCAGTTTTCTGGTGGTTCACTGGAGATAAGAGTTTCACGGATTTTCCTACCTGGGCTGGCTTTGAACTACGATCCTCAGATCTCAGCCTCCTGAGTAGCTAGGATTACAGACATGCGCCACTAGTGCCAGGCAACCCTAAACTGTTAAAAAAAAAAATGAAGTCCAGGTTTTCTTTTTATGGAATATCTCCCCAAAATGTCACAGAATTCCTTCTAAATTAAAGAGCAATGATTCAGCAGTTACTGCCAGTAATTCTTGCAAAGCTGTTTTTTATTTTTTCATTATGAAATAAGTAACTAAATTCCAGAGCTGAAATGAGTCCAAGCTGAATTAACAAACTGGACAAGGCCAAAGTTAAAACTGCTGACTCTCAGGCAGCCCCTGCAATGCGCTGACCTTGACTCAAGGTCAGGAAAAGAACCCCACGGAACTCCTCCTCCTGGAAGACTTAGGAACAAAATGAGAAGCACTGCTGGGGTTCAGAACACCTCCCACCAGTACCCGAGGAGAACACATTCCACCTGATCTTGTGCAGGTTACCGCCAGGCTGCTGACTCAGCCCTGGCTCCTTGCCTGGAGCAGGCTGGGTGCTGGCACGCTAGGTCTGTGGAGACAGGGTGGGGCTGGGAAAACAAAGCAGCTGGTTGCTAGAAGGCTCATGAGCCACCTTGTTACCCCTAGACAACCTAACTCAATCTCTTATTTAACTTGATTATGAAATATGCCAGTATCTATATGCGACGGACCAGCTCGGCCGGAGCACTGGGACCGACAGGACAGGGATCTTGGGATAGGTGGGCAAAGGAGTCGGCGAAGTGACAGACACAGACTCAAAAGAGTTGCATCTGAGTGTATCTTTATTGAGGAGAATTAACATTTTTATACAGTGTGTGATTGTGACATAGATTCTTTGTTTATTTAAGCATGTAATCAATTTTTTTAAAGGCAAAGCATTGATGAATTACATGAAAATTAATGACTATCCCACCAACTGTTTAAGCTAAGTGGTGCGAAACAAGTCTAACATATTGTTTAATAGAATGCGTCATCTATTCAGCCTTTTTATGTTTAATAATTAACAAACCTAAGACAGGGCTGTACTTACATTGTACTCTTTTTAATTTTATTTTTATCCAACTAATTTCATCTTTATAAGCTCCTGTATAAGGAAATGGTTCTTGGTTGGTTCAGGAAATATGTTACTAACTTTATATTTTGTGTGAAAACACCATCTATTCCCTATAACGTAAGTTGGACTAAACTTAATCATAACTGTTGGGAGAATCTTTCTTTTTCTTATATAATCAGAGGTCCCTTCTTTTTTAGAACTCTCTGAACTACTGGGATAACTCTTTTTAACTTAGTTTAATTCATTGATTGTCTATTGGACATATCTGGAAATTTTAAGTCTCTATATTTACTATGCGTGAGCTGCAAAACCGCTTGTGAAGTTGTAGGAGTTTCTGGAGGCAACGTCACATCAGATGATAGATTGATTGGGGCATTGCCCACTTTTAATCTTTGGCCTTAGTCTTTATTAGTTAGAGAAGCCGTCTCTATTGGACTGGAAAAATACAACATGCTCTGTTCGCGGATCAATAGAAAAATAGCCAAAACGAGAATAAAGGCAACGAATGTACAGCCAAGAAGAAGATAGTAAGAATAAAGGCAGAGGCTATAAAGGTGCAGCCAAGTGTATGGGAAGCCTTGAACCAACACCCCCTTCCTGAGGGCATGCTTCCTTGAAGCTCTTTGTCCAACGCAATCTCTCACGCAGACTCCGCAGAAGGTGGCGTGACACCCACTGGTCACAGAAAGATGTCCACTCAGCTGGAGATACCAGGAACCACTGGAAGTGAAGAAACTTAAGCGTTTGACCTTGTTTCTCTGGCCAGAGACTATTCATTGAACTTGCAGTCCCTTATTCTGTTGTCAATGTCAAATCAGAAGCCATCTATCCACCACAGGCAGCTTTATGGAAGTGCTCCGCCCACCTGCACCGGCCTCTCTTTGCTGAACCCAGCTAAGGACTCCTTGCAGACACATCTTCATGGCTGCTTTGCCTGCTGTGATCTCTGCTCCTTTCCAAACGCTTGCTTCGGCAGCTTCCTCTCCATTGTGCCTCTGGACTGGGTTCCCATGGTGGTTGGATACTGAGCTGCTTGTTAGAGGAGGAAACAAGAGTTGTTGTATACAATGGCAGGCCTGAACTCGCCTGGAGGCAGAACAGACGCTCTCCCAGGTGGGACTAGTCAGGGCACAGGGCAGGCATCCTGCCACTGGGCCCTGGGTCACTGTGGTGAGCAGCAGTCACACTGGAACTTGTCTTTCTCAGAGAACAACGGGTTAAGTATGACCAGATTGTCTTTTTTAGGGAATCCAGTTCTCCACCAACTCCTGGGGGATGCCTGGGGCTTGAGTCTAGGCCAGGCTCCACTCCTGTCCAGAACCTTTCATTCCAGAAGTTTTAACCAAGTGTATGTGGCGTGGCATCTATACAAGTAAATGGAAGACAACTCCTATAGCCCCCAGGTGTAGATACAGTTATAACTAACGTTTGACTAAATGTGTTTCCTTGATATTTTTTCCTAAACTATGGAAATTATAGGGATAAAGACATTTCATTCCTTAGTAATTCTGGGGTAGAAAGCCTCAAGATGACCTGTCTCTGAGAATTCACACCGGAGTTGTCTCTTCCCATACTGCATCTCAGTGGGTCTAGGTGATCAGCAATGCAGAAGTAATGATGACATTTCTCTTCCAATTAGGTTATAAAGGGCTCTACTATACTCCTCTCTCCCTCTCACCTTCTCCCTCTCCATCCCTCTCCCTCTCTCTCCCTCTCCCCTCTCTCTCTTACACACACACACACACACACACACAGTCCATTTCCTGTTGCTATAACAAAATAGCTGAGGCGAGGTACGGTAAGAAGAAACGAGGATAATAAGCTCTCTATTCTGATGGTTGAAGAATCCATACAAGAGTGTCCTAGTGTGTCATCACATAGCAGAGAAATGGACAAGGGACTGGCTGCATGCAGAGGGGACCAAGTACATGGATGTCCTCACTTTTTAACAAGGTGCTCTTGAGGCATCACACAAGAACTACATTAATCCCTTCCAAGAGCAACGACTTCACCTGCTCCCACCTCCCACTATCTTACAGGTTTCCACATCTCAAAATACATACTCCACACACATCAAAGTCACTGACATCAATGGCTCACACGGCAAAGAAAGATCAGACTATAGCCATCAGGCTAGTGATCTGGGGGACAAGTCCCCTCTCCCCCATCAGGAGTGAGATGGCTGCATCCTCATCTGATTTGGGGCTTGAACTCTGGGCCTGGGTGCTGTCCCTCAGTTCTTCAGCTCAAGGCTACTACTCTACCACTTGAGCCACAGCACCACTTCCGGTTTTCTGGTGGTTTACAGGAGATAAGAGTTTCACAGCCTTTCCTGCCCAGGCTGGCTTTGAACCGCGATCCTCAGATCTCAGCCTCCTGAGTAGCTAGGATGACAGGCGTGAGCCACTGACACGTGGCTCCCCAGCTGATAGCTTGATGGTAACTGGGAGGCACTAAGTCAGCACTGCCCAGCTAGGCACCTCCAAGACTCTGCACCTTTGAAAACTGTGCAAGTAGTAATGTGTATTATTTCTAGAGGCTAAGTATGAGACTAAATTATTGCACAGCAATTTTAGTGAGTAGAGATGCTGATTCCTAGGAGAAAGTGGTGTTGGGACAAAACCTTGAGTGTGGGAGTAGCTTTTGAACAGGGCAATGGGCTTGGTCAGGAGTGATCCTGAAACCCCGGTGGCTGGCGAGGCTGTGAGTAAGAGGCTCAGGTCTTACTGGCTGTAGCTGCACACTGGAAGGGTGAGGCAGATGATATTAGAGACTGGAGGATGCAGTCCTTCGATACGTTGCAAAAGCAGAGCAATGCTGTGGCTTGCAGTCCTGAGGACTGAAGACAGTGTACTGGTAAGAAGATTTTCAGTCAGAATGTGGATGCGCTGTCAGTGTCCTCTGGTTGCTTCTATTAGAAGCAAAGGTCCAGGGTCCTGTCAGAAAATCGGGGCAGAGACCAAGGCCAGAGCTGAACTGAGAATTGTGACAATAGCCTTGTAGCCATCTATCCTGGACATAGCTCCTTGAGCCTCCATGAAGTTCAAGCTTAGCCCTGGGTACCATCCTGATGGAGAATTCCTGAGAGACACTGAGCCACTCTCAGAATCTGTACTTTCATGACAAAGGAGCTAAAGAACTAAGAGTAAGAGAAACATACTTCAACATAATGGAGATGATATGACAAACCTATAGGCAACATCACACTAAACAGGTAAACCTGAATCAATTTCCTCTAAAGTCAGAAATGAAACCAGGACATCTACTTTCTCCACTTTTACTCAGTGTAATACTTGAATTCCTTGCCAGAGCAATAAGGTAAGAAAAATAAACAAAAAGGACACAAAAGGTCAAATTACATTATATAAGATCCTATACTTAGCTGGAGCATTGACAGTTCATACCTGAATTGCTAGCTACTCAGGAGGCTGAGATCTAGGAATAGAGGTTCCAAGTCATCCCAGGCAAGGAAAAAAAATCCTATACTTAAAAACAACAACAGCAACCCTAAAGACTACTAAAATCTAGAGCTGATAAATATTTCAGCAAAATAACAGGATACAAAATCAACACATAAAAATCAGCTTTTCTATATACCAACAATAAATGGACTGAGAAAGAAATCAAAAGAAAATCTCACTCATAATAGCTTCAAAAAATAAAAACAAAAGAAGTAAAAGACCTCTAAAACAAAAACTATCAAACCTTGAAGAAACTGAAGAAAATACTAGTCAATGGAAAGACCTTCTAAATTCATGGACTGGCAAATTTAATGTAGCAAAAAAGGCCATACTAGGGGCTAGGAAGGTGCTTGCCTTGCATGAATGAGGCTCTGGGTTTGATTCCTCAGCACCACCTAAACAGAGAAAGCTGGAAGTGGCACTGTGGCTCAAGGGGTAGAGCACTTGTCTTGAGCTGAAGAGCACTCAGGGAGAGCACCCAGGTCCAGAGTTCAAGCCCCATGACCAAGAGAAAAAAAAAAGGCCATACTACTAAAAGCAATCTACAGATTCAATACAATCCCACCTACCAGACTTCAAACTATACTACTGAGTCACTGTTTTTTTGCTTTTTTTTGGGGGGGGGGAAGGGGGAGGGTCTGGTCGTGGGGCCTGAACTCTGGGCCTGGGAGCTCTCTCTCAGCTCTTCAGCTCAAGGCTAGCACTCTACCACTTGAGCCACAGCGTCACTTCCAGCTTTTTTCTGTTTTGCTTATGTGGTGCTGAGGAATCGAACCCAGGGCCTCATGCATGCAAGGCAAGCACTCTACACTGAGCAACCTTCCCAGCCCACTACTGAGTCATTGTAATAAAAACAGCAGCAGGACACTGGCACCAAAACAGACATGTGGGCCAATAGAATAGAATAGACAACTAGACAACCAAGAGACAGACAGCAACAGCCACCTGAATTTTCACAACAGAGTCAAAAATCTCATTTTGGAGAAAATATAGTGCTGCCCTAACCTCAGTTTAGACCTTGTCACTCCATGGCACTTTATTTAAAGCAAGTTAAGCCTATCCCATAATCAAGAAGTAGAGAAACAGTTCCTACTTCTTGACAGTGCAAAGGGGGAAGGACACAGCACACAGTTTACAAGGGCCATCCTATATAAGCATTCAGCAAGCTAGCTCTTGCTCTAAACCCATGACCTAGATAAAACTAGGCTAAAGGTGAATTTTGAGTCAGATTCAGTCCAGTGTTAATAGACTGCATTGATTTTGAACTGTTAGAAAGCAGTAACAGTAACAGGTAAGTTTGAGAATTATGATCCCATTTATTTTATGAGGTTTGACCAACAACTAAGAGAAAACTCTGTAGAACTCATTTGCTTTTTTTTTTCCCTCCCTGCTAGTACTGGGGATTGAACTCAGGGCTTGAACTCAGGAACTTGGGCATGCTTGATGGCTCTACCACATGAGCCATACCTCGAGCCCACTATTTTGCTATTATTATTATTAATTTTTTTGGTCAGTCATGGGGCTTAAACTCTGGGCCTGGGCACTGTCCCTCAGCTTTTCAGCTCAAGGCGAGTGCTCTACCACTTGAGCCACAGTGCTACTTCAGGTTTTCTGGTGGTTTATTCTGGTGGTCTCATGGACTTTCCTGCCCCAGGCTGGCTTTGAAAACCATGATCCTCAGATCTCTGCCTCCTGAGAAGCTAGGATTACAGGCATAAGCCACCCGTGCCCGGCTCCATTCAGTATTTTTAAGTGTATTATTATTATCTAACTGTAGGTCTTATCTCTTTGGTTCCTGATATCTAAACATGTCACAATGTTGTAGACTAATGAAAGGATCCAGTTCCCAAAAGGATTGAGCAAATAAGAACATAATTGTTCACTAGAGCCCAACTATTGTTAGGTCCCTTGGGCAGAAGGCAAAGAGAAAAGTCAGGATGAAATTCACAAATACAGCTTAGACTTTGCCCTGTTGTTGCAGGCTATGAACCCTGCTGCACTCTGGCACTGAGGAGTAATGTCTGGATGAGGCCAACATCCAACCGGACACCCATCTTTGCAGCCTGGGCTCATTCCAAGAAGTCCCTAGCAAGAAGGAACCATGCAGGAATACCAAGTTGAGGAAACATTGACAAACTACTCCCAGTCAGTCACCCCAGTCAACCAAATGCTTCACGCTCCTTCCCACTTCAAAGCTTTGGAACACGGAGCTAGGAATGTGGCTTAGTGGTAGAGTGCTTGCCAAGTATGCATGAAGCCCTGGGTTGGATGCCTCAGTACCACATAAACAGAGAAAGTCAGAAGTGGTGCTGTGGCTCAAGTGGTAGAGTGCTAGCCTTGAGCAAAAGAAGCCCAGGGACAGTACCCAGGCCCTGAGTTCAAGTGCCAGGACTGGAAAAAACAAAAACAAAAAACCTCGGAATAAGCACTTCTCTTTCATCTTGAACTTGAACCCCAAGGACATGTAGGTAAGCAATGAAACTCAGGAATGTAATCAAGGGCTTTGAGGTCTTGTCACCTCTGACCTTCCATTCTATAGCTTCCAACCCAGAATTTCAGCCTTCGCCC